CATGTGTTTCTTATTTCCTATTTGCACCCAAATAGGACAGCCACAGCCATTGCTGTTGGCATTGTCTCGTTCGGTAATGGCTGTGGATCAGTTGCATATTATTTGAATTGGCTCGAACCAATTGTTTGGTCACGCAATCAAAATGTCTCATTCTCAGAAAGCATATATTATTGTGCTCTGGATGGTAGCAGCGCTTTGTGTGTACATAAAACATTCAGACAAGTATTTGCGAAATATGAGCTTGAGTAGAAAACACCTATTCTGCTAGAAAAAACCCAAAATATGTTAGAAACTTTAGGAACATTGGGTATGGGCCATTTCGAAAAAGGTTTCAATTTGTCAAAACTTTGCTAGCAATTTAGAACGTTCGTGAGTTGGTATGGAATTATCTCATTCTTTGGGAAATTCCGATACGTTTATTTGACGTCACCAAGGGGCGGAGGTGAGTGAGACTCAAACATGTGCTTCTCCTTCAAAACAATACATACACAAGCATCACATGTACAGCAGAAGTCGATAAGTATCATATCAGAAACAAAGCTGAGTAGCGCGCACATGTACTTGTGTTTGCACTGCTGTTATGGCGCATACTTTTGATGTTTGTGAGTTAGTGTGTATGTATTGTTTTGAAGAAGAAGCACATAGGCATTTCCAGGCCATGGACGTCAACCCCATTTATCAAATTAGTCAAGCTGTGTCAACTATATGAATATGATGTGTTCAATATTTTTCTATTTCTAATGCACATTTTGGGTAACTAAGCCATTATCTTGCTAGAACACGCGACTTGTTACTTTTCCGCACACACAGTGTAAGGTGAAAAGTATTGTAATCGGTCACAATTTTGAAAACTTCAGAAACATGTTTTCTACCTATTATTGAGGTCAGAGAACACGAATTTGGCGTTTTTAAACATGGTTTATGTTATTCTGTACGTCGTACGCAAAATTTGTTTGCAAGATTGTGCTCATCTTAGAATCTTAATTCAAAATCTGACTTTACATGATGATTGGTGGTAGCGAGGAATAGAAATCATTAGATTTTGAGCGACTTTGGTTGATGGAAAAAAAATTCATGCCTGGAGTGATACCTATGAAAAAGAGTCCAATTTTCGTCCAAAAGTCATACTTAATGTAGACTTAAACACTCAAAAATATGTATTGGGGGATTTTTTTGGCACGAGAAAACCGAATCCGACGTTAGTTTTGAGATAAAATCAATTTTTGATACAGTTTCCTTGAAAAAATCACAAAAAAATTGAATCTGAAAGTTTGAAGAGATTTCATCAAAATTAGGGGTACCTCCCATAAAAAAATTTCAATTTTTGGCTCAAAACGAACATTTTGTATGGGAGGTACTCTTAATTTTGGTTGAAATTTCTCCAAACCCACCGAATTTTATTTTTTTGTGGGAAAAATAGCCTGTGCAAAGTTTCACGTCATTAAGGTAGCATACAGACATGGATCCCATACAAAAATCCAAATTTTTTGTGACTTTAGTTATGAAAAGTGTTTCAAAAATAATTTTATGGCAAATTTAACGCCAGACATATTTTTTATTATAGTGTTATGTTAGAAAATAAAATACTTTCAAATGTCGTACAAATGGGTTCATCATGAAAGTGTGAAAAATCTTTTCTTGGCTACTTCTGCTATTAAATTAAAGAATATTTCGTTGCCAAAGTTGGAACATATTTTTTGGTCTCGAAATTTACACCGCTTGAAAAGCTTGAAAAATGGAACAAATATCATTTTGAACTAGCTTAATGAAATACGCATCTACCACCGTGCGGAAAAGTTCGTCTTACTCCCGTAAGAATCTTTATTTTATATACATTCATAGTTTACATATTTTCGAATTGCCGTTAGAAACTCGATAAACAGTCGAGTCATATGACTTACGCAAGAAATCATCTGGTTCTTGTTTGCATTATAAAAGAATGTCTGCATTCTACTTGACAATATATGGAAAAAAATGTGTTTCTCAATATCATAAGTTGTTCAAAGTGTTACACGTGTACCAAGCTAACAAGATGTGATGCTGAACGTATTGTTTAGTTTTCACGAAAACAAATTTCAAATTTACAACGTAATATTTAGTTTATAAAATCCATTTGAATATCCAAGGTTGGCCTGTTAATATTTCCTATAAAAAGGGGGTGATACTCATCTCAGTTCATCAGTTTCTGAATTAACTTTGTTCAGACCAAACCCAACTGAAATGAAATATTCATTCGCCATTCTTTTTGCTGCTGTTGCTGTCATTATGATGGCCAGGTAAATTGGGTGATAGAAATTATTCAAAATGTTCATCTCTTGCATCTCAAAAACTTCATAATTAATTTAATTTTTTTTTTGTTCTTTTTCTAGCGAATCATCGTAAGCTCATTTAATAACAAAATAAGAATGTGTTCAATGTGTTCAATTAAATAATTATTTCTTTTAAAATATTTAGTGCTGCTATATCATCTTCAATGCGAAACCAGTACGTTTTATATCGAATATGAATTTTCAATAAGACACATTTATTCATGATGAATTAAATTTTATCACAGAGGTTTGCAATTACTTCGTGGAAAGAAGGCAACTTTCTTTTTGGGCTGGTAAGTTTTGATTTCTCAATTTAAAAAAATCAAATTTTAATTCTTTTCTATATGTTTATTGTTTTCTCTTAGCTTGAAAGAATTTAATATTGTAGAGTAAGTTTGAAAAAAGCTTTAAATTAAAAAAAAAACATAAAAAACAATCATTAACTAATATTGGTTTGTTTTTGGCGCATTATAGAGAAAATGATGACATTCCAACGTAAGTTTATTAGTGGTAATACAAACATAACTATGGCCGGTCCTAATATTACTTTTGAATCATTCACTTAGTGCACAGCAAAAGGTCAGAGAATACAATGGCGGAGCTGAGTAAGTTTACTTTAATTTTAAGTTGAATGCAATTCAAATTTTAAATTTTTTGTTCATGTTTCATAGCTCTTTCCGAAGTGCACTGGATAAAGTAAAGCGATATAATCCAGCTGATCATGGAAGAGAACGATAAGGAGCTTATATTCCATAAAGCATGAAACAAGGAATTATTATCAACATCCTAAATAATAAAATATCTTTGAAAATTTTGCTTTTCCGCACAGCGCAAACCAAGCCTGATAAATATATTGTATTATGTCAAAATAAAAATTTACCCAGAAACAAGTTTTTTATGCAATTTTCATTTTCGAATTGTACCTCACTGAATCTAATTGTATATACCTTGCTAAAATATTCACACATTTTTCGAAAAAAATTTTTACTCCAAATATTGGAATTTTTGTATGGGAACCATACTGAGATGATGAGATCGAATTTTTTCATCAATTTCACGTGATTTAATATGTTCGTATCAGGCCACAAATGAAATTTCACTATGGGTTTCGACCATAATCTAGCTACTGACGAAGTTTCAAGTGATTCGGTTGAAAAATATGAACATTTTTCATACTAATTTTTGATTTTTGTCAACAAGTCTTTTTGAGCAAAATTGTTGATAATTTTAGGTGTGGTACATTCCTTTGATCCAGAAATGAAATAAATGGAACTTTTTGACTTGAAACTTTTGTACAAATACCAAATCAGCGGCTGCTATGAATTGTGTGGTAGTATGCACAATGTTCAACAAGTCATCGATGGTTGCATAACTGAAAATTCTCTCCAGACAATCAAAGTTGATGTCGGTGAGATTTAGGCCACTTGTTGGTGAAACTTCATTGGACGCCATTTGGACGTATCGAACCTAAGAAGAGAAAAAATCATTTTTTATGTTTACAGTCAATGTTACGGCTTCGATTTATGAAATTTGAACATTTTGTTATTTCACAAAAATCTATTTAAAGCAACATGTATTTTTACCTTTTTGTGTGATTGTTGAAAATTTTGAAACGCGTCTGTACGTATCTTTTCTTGGAACGACCGATTGCTCCTGACGAAGTACAGTGTATCGTTGATCACACACACAATTTCACTAAAAAATCAGTTTGTGTTCACACATTGTATGCGTTCTTAGTTTGGTGTTGTTGAAATTTACACATTGGCTTCATGCATCAACATCAGCGCAAAGTTGACATTTGATTCATTCTAATTCAATTTCATCTATGCAAACCAATTCACATCAAAAAACATTCACAACATTTTATACTATTTCAAATCCGTTTTTTTCTTGCAAAAAAATGGATTTATGTTTCTATTATAATTTAATTTTCCAAAAAACCAAAACTGTTTTCATTTTCGGATCGTGAAGTCGCCTTGCAAGGAATTCGAATATGTAGCGACAACCCGTCTATCAGTCAATTTTCGAACATTAATTGTGTCATTAATTGTGAAGTTGTGTGATTGTGTGCGTTTATTATTTGCTGATTAGCATAGTGCTCTGTGCTAGTGTAATAACAACGTATTCCACATAACAAATAAAATTTCTATTCGATCGACACCGCCATATTGGTTAGTCTCATAAAAAAATTCTAAAAAATTATTTTGTGCTGAAAACATTGATTGAACTTGATTTTTGCGTTGCGATTGGATTTATTTCGAGGTAAGTCATGGCGGTGTGATGGATTTTCTTGTATTCTTTTGACAATATTTGTATTTGCTAATCAATCAAGTGATTTGTGTGTCGCAATGGATGGCCGTCGAGAGAGACAACCACCCGATAGACATGGGTTAAACAAATTGCCGCCAGAAACTGGTGAACTGCTATTGTCTGAGGCCGAAATAAAATCGGAGCCAATGATTAAAGAAGAACCAGAAAGTGTAGGTGACATTCACATGTTGCCGATGTCAGAATTGGACAACAACAGACCCCATAATGCAATTGTCGGGGATCAAATTGATGAAATAAACGATTTTGATGGTGTTTGTAATTTGGTTGAGGTTAAAGAGGAGGTGAAAACGGAAAATATTGAAAAGAAAGCTGAAGATATTTCTGGTGGTGGTCATCAAAGTGATGTATCAATGCAATCACCGGATCGGGGTGAACAAAAGGCGACTACATCGCATGGTAAAGCAACTAAAGGCAACGGTGATAGTGTCTGCAAAAGCAATAGGTACAATGGCAAAGAGGGTCAAGCTGCAGCGAAGCCGATTGGTAAACAGCACAAATGTACAAAGTGCGAGTATTCTACTTTGAAGAAAAGCCATTTTAAAACACACATTCTGACTCACACTGGCGAGAAGCCGTTTCCATGCACCTTGTGTTCAAAACGATTAACCACAAAAGAAAATCTGAAAAGGCATATGAAAACGCACGTCAAAGAATTTCTGTTTAGTTGTTCAAACTGTTTGCATGGATTTTCCCAAAGAAATGAACAATTGGAACATGAAGTTGCTTACAAAGTTAAACGTTACGAGTGTTTTTTATGCAAGAAATACTCTACTTTGTATATACAAACGCTGTTTGAAGGAGCATATGCGGTTGCATAGTGATGAAAGACCATTCCAATGCAATGATTGTACAAAGAAATTTACCTGGGAAACTAATATGAAACGTCACATGAAAACTCACATCAATCCTCGTCCATTGAAATTCAAATGTTCAATTTGCTACAGAAACTTCAATCAACAAGCGGAAAAGGACGATCATGAAGGACATTGTAAGCGACGTGGTTTTCAATGTCATGTGTGCCAACAGTTTAAAAGTAATGGACTCTGCAATCTTATGAAGCAGATGCGAACACACACCGGTTTCAAACCATTTCAATGCGGATTCTGCTCAAAATGCTTTAGTCAACAAGCACATTACAACAGACACATCAAAATCCACAAGTAATTCTCAATTAATAGAAGAAGCAATCAATGATTCAACAATGTTTTTGGATTTTAGAAATTAAACTTCAAAATCTCCCATTATTGAATTTTTTTCTTTATTCATGTTTCATTGAAATAAATGAAGTATTACAGTTTCTAAAAATACATTTTGTTTTTATTTGAATTAGTTTGGCCTAGTAATAGGTTAGACTTTCGGATAGTCCATTCTAATGTGGAAAATTCGACTTGGTAGGAAGTTTTTCTTATTTGACTAATACAAGAGGCGTCAGTTAACAATTTTCAGAGCTGATTCTTTTCCTTCTCAATTTCAAAATTAACCGTGTAGTATTCAGTCTATGTCATAAGTGGCGATGGTGGATTTATATGAAAATTGCTTTACTACTATTACAAATTCCAGTTCAACTTTGCTTAAATCAGAGCTCGATGCAAGAAAATTATTCAATGACTTGCCATTTTGTCTATAAGCAAAGCCAATTTTCATTTCTTTCAAAGTGCAAAATTCATAAAAAGATTCACAAATATAGATTGAATTTTATTTAATTTTCCTTTTGAGAAAATCTTGATATAAATTTCGATATTGAATCTTAATCGGTTTTTGATTTATTTCTTCTTCCGAAACACATTCGAATGATAAAAATACATAATGCAATGATGACAATCAGCCCAGTCGCTATCGTAATGTAAATATCAAAAGAGTAGTACGTGAATACTGATAAATTGTTTGCATGTGATTTTAGTAAGGGAGCTCCTCGTGTTGCCGATACATATTCTACCCACCAAACAGCCGCTTCAGCCGGTTTCATCGGTCGATTTCGAAATGAATAAGATACTGTTTTTGCCCTTTGCAACGCCTCCGGTGACAATGCATTGGTAATTGCTATTTTGATAGTTTCTTCTGTCATATCTCTATAGCGAACAATATAACCGATGCCACGTGCCTCTACTGTGGCTGCATTTTGAAATTGGTCACCAAAAAATGGTGTCACTATAATAGGAATGCCACAATAAACCGCTTCGCTAATTCCCAATAGCCCGCCATGACTGCAAATGAATATAATTAGAAAGTTTTCTCATTAACGATCATACTACTTTCAAAATGTAATTACCTTATGAATGCACGCACATTTGGATGACCTAAAACGATAAAAACACCAGAATGTGAGATTATTTTTGAAAAAGATTGTGCAAACATGGTACGTACATAAAATGTCCCTTTGTGGTAACCATTTCCGAATGAATACATTTTTTGGTTGATCTTGAAGTGTGTCATTTTCAAATTTCCACAAAACTTTCTGTTTCAAAGAAGCGAATGTATTGAGAAGTATTTTTCGTTTGTCGTCTGGTAAGGATGAGCCACGAATCATAGAACCCCAACTCACATAGATCACGCCGTTCTTGGCCGAGTCCAATAATGCTTTCAGTTCTGGATCGAGAGGCTTTTTTTCTTTGATATGAATGCCACCCAATTCAATCATCATTGGAGTCATTGGTCTTGATCCACTGATCGAGTAATGGGTATTTACAAACATCAAACTTGTTTCTTTGACGAGCTCACTGACCGATGGAACATTATCATTTTTCATATATTTTTGAATAATTTTATCAGTCTCCGGTACTGTGATGTATCTATGTGCAAAGAATTTTGAAAATTTATTATCAATAGTCGCTCAACTAATGAACTTCTAGTATCAACATTGAGTAGAACCTACTGATACATTAGATTTAACACATTGACGCCTATCCAGTTGTTGAAACGTTGAAAAAAATTCATTTTATTCGAGTATCCAACTAGCACATTCGGAATATAGGATGGAAATAATGGGTTACCGATACGATCGTAATGCCATGGCAATAACAAACAACTGCTTAAAGCAATGACAGGCGTTTTTAATTTCCATGCAACGGCCATAAGGCAATCATTATTGAATTGTTCCAATAAAATGACGTCGAATTTTTGGTTCGATTTCAAAATTGTTTGCAGAACAGGGGAACTGAAAATAAGATCACATTCTTTGAATCCATTTTGCTGTAATCTCCAAAATGTAACAATATATGTACTCCATGGCGCATTTTTAAACACCTGTAAATGAAATTGATTCTTTTTTAAAAAATTATTACTTTATCAAAATGGACAATATTTTTTTTTTACAAAATAAGCACATTAGGGTGTTTCGATAATACAGATTGTGATAGTTTTTATGGCGCAGGGTAATTATCCAATGCAGATTGATGAGAAGAAGTGATCCACACCGTTTTCTATCTTTAAAGGGACCGAGTTAGAATGGTAATTTTCATGGATATATGCTCTTGCTATCAATGCAATTGTGAATCGTTGATTTAAAGTCGAGTTATCCAATGTTCACTTGTTACTTTCTACATATTTAGATCTACGTTATATTAATACAAAAAATAAAAACATGTCTTATCAGCAACTTGCTTAAAGCAATCGACATTTATCTAAAAAAGTATCCGGGTTAAAGTTGAAAAAAGTCAGCGTGAAATAGAGTGATTTTGATAAATTTTACTATGTTTATTTTTTTAGTTCAACTCAAAATACATTCGTTCAACATTGCAAATATTTTGAATCACTTATAAAATTAAATCGAACGTGTGCGTTTGAAATAAAGAAGAGTGAATATGCGAAACGAATGAATATAAATAGGCATGCACACATTATCATTTGATGCTGATGTCAGCATTTTCGAAATTCTGGCAACTGATTATACGCGATTGAGCACACAAAATTGAGACTTTCACCTTCAATATGCTGAGGACACTCGATTATCCTTTTTTTCAACAGGAAAAATGACATTTTCTGTAAAAATGTTAAATGTTAAATTTCGTATGTTTACCTCCAAATCAACCGAGTTCAAAGCCAAATCCGATTTTGGCAGCAATAAATCTTTGTAATTCACCGGTGCATCGTTATCTGGGAAATGACTCACAACTGTAACGTCATGGCCAGCATCAGCGAGTTCACGCAAAATTGAGTGAAAAAACTTAAAATGACTCAATATCGGAATTGGAAACATTCCAAGAATTTTCAATGAATTTGCTGTTGACAAAAACAACAATAGCACCAATCCGATTTGCACTTTCATATTCACCAATTATTACTTTAGCATTACACTAGAAAAAGATGCGCGGAATACAAAAAAACACTCAAGACTAGACACAATACACCAAAGTGTGTGTCTTATACGTTCCTCTTGCGCGTGGAAACTAAAATTAGCCCACCGCTACAATCAACTTTATTGCATATATTGCTTATTGCAGTATTTATGTTGGTGTCTATTATTGTCGTTTAGCTGCAAAATATTGACATTTGTCTTAATACAATAGTCTTATAATAGAATTTATTTTTAGAATATATACTTCAAAGATAGGTTTTTTATGATTATAGGTTAGACAAAACAAAATACAAATACACTACTGTCAAGATATGCACGATTCACTGATTTATACGAAACTTCTCACATGAACTAAAAAGACTGCTGACATTGACCAACTTCATTGCGAAGAGCATACAGGTCGACATATTTTGTCTATTTTTAGCTTAAATTAATGACTGAATTAAATCACCAAATAACATTTTATCTGTTTTCAAATCCAGAAATTGTCGAATATGATTTTTAAATGGTTTGGAAAGTTAATTGTAAATCATGTTATGTAAACGATCTGAATCGTACATAATCAGCTGATGAACGCATCTGCATTACTTCTTAAGTGTGCTGAAATGTATCCGATATGTGTCGAAGCAACACACAAAAAAAATGAAATAAGACGAGCCCACACCAACACAACTGCATTTACTTCATTTTGGCTCCGAATCGTCATTACCGTACTAGCAGAGGTTCCGTCACAACTTTGATAGTTTCGAAAATGGAATACATATACAAAAAATACTTTATGATCATTATCTCTTTAAACATATTCGTTTCCGACGCGGCATATTCGCATTGTTGTACGTTTTCGATTACTCATACATTCGCAAGAAAGAAGAATTTATGGTATTTGTGTATTCAATACACTGTATTGTATAGTGTACAATGTATGGGCAATTGATACGTCATTGTATCATACAATTTGGTTGCTGTCTTACGTCAGTTGTTCATAGTAAACAGAAAGCCGTCTTTTGTGTATAAAAACAGTCTGTATCGTAACCGTGATAATAACTTACGGAAAACAAATTCCATTGCCTCCGATTTACTTCAAAACATAGATTCACGGCCAAGAGCAATACGTTTGCACCACAAAGATCGAATATGAAAAAAACCTCATTAATTTTTTTGTGGGTTCATTTTTGATGTGGCCAAAATACGAGTTCTCTTTCATACATAATTTTTCTCCAACACTATTGAATACGAAGCACAGCACCGGACCGGTGCCACCGGTTTTACACAATTTTGAAAGACAAAATGAAACCAGTTGAAAAGGTACCACGTTGTCGACAACAGTTTATCGTCCAACTTTCTGTCCAATTGTATTTCGAGAACAGTTTTTAGTTTTACCTATATAGTAATGCAATCCTTTGAATTCGAATAATTTGAAAGCTTGAACATTTTTGCAAATTGTAGTTTGTTCGGAATATTCACGAAGTTTTCAATGAATTTTTTCCGAATTTAATTTGGAATTTTTTATCAGCACTTTTCTGAAGATTCGATTCATATATTTAAAAAAAAATCATATTCAGTTAACCAATTTAAATCGACGGCAGCAAGCACCTCCAAGTTGTGACCGATTTCATGTCTCATTGATACATTGTTAATCACAATCTCTTCATCATGCTAGTCTATACAATTTTAATTTATTTACTATTTGGAAAAGAGTAAGTAAGAAACAAAGTGATGGCATCAAAAGAAATTAACATTTTTTCCATTTTTTTATCACATGATGTTTAGTACTACGAGTGCCACCGTAGTCTCAATAGAAAAACCTATTTCTGAGCGATTGGTGTCTTTGAACCCCGAGGCCAAATTCATGCCAAGAACGATAAATTTAAGTGAAGGTTGGAGTCCAACACTCTACAAGTGAGTTTTATATTTTAAATCAATCCATTTAATTTGACGAATCTTTTCGACTGTATCCATTTCATATTTTGACACTTTACAGGTTGGTTATGCGGCCAGAAATTCAGTATGGTACTAGCTCTGGTCATATTGTCATCGATGTTATGAAAGATGCCAATGAAACACAGTGGCCACCGATCGTTTTGGATATTAACAATATTACGATTAACAAGGTTGAAGGTGGGTTCTGAAATTCCAGAAATAATATACATGGAAAACTCAATAAAATTGAATAAAATTGAGTTTATGTTAAAAATGTCATTTGTAGTGGCTGAAATCAATGGAGAGGTCACTCGACTTCTTAGTATCCAATCGAATTATGGTAAAAACAATGAAATATATGTCATTGATTTGCTGGAGATGCCGAAGAATACATCACTGCAAGTTAACATCGAATTTATCAGTCAACTTTCCACTACATTACAAGGCTTTTATCGCGTTGGCTACGACGACATCGACACCACCGACAAAAAGTGAGATTTTTTTTTCATTTTCTCATATTACGAGAATTGTTCAAAAAAATGATGTAAATTCGATTGAAACAAATTCCCGTGAATGGAGTGACTGGAATGAAAAAAGTTAGAACTATTGTTGAAAGTTTGATTTTGATCATTGTTTATTCTTTCATGTTTTCAGATGGTTGGTTAGCACTCAATTTTCGCCGATTGACGCCCGGCGAGCGTTCCCATGTTTTGATCGTCCTGATAAGAAGGCCCGATTCGACATAAGCTTGATTTATCATGAAAACCTGACGATGGCCTTATCCAATATGCCCAGCAAACAAACAATGTAACAACACAACTTTTTCTCTTCAGAATTAATCTTTTCAAAATCATTGATTTACGTTGAATTCTAATTAGGAGATTACCAAATGGATATATTCGACAAGATTTCAATACAACACCCCTAATGTCTACGTACTTAGTTGCATTCATGGCTACGAATCTGGTCAATACGAATGTATCTCGAACATCAATAAAAGACGCACCTGTCGAAGAATTACCGCGAATCAATATTTGGAGCCGCCAGACAGTTGCCGATCTGACACAGTAAGCTATCATGAAATTATTCAACATTATTATTTTCCATGAATGACATCTTCATTTAAAGGTTTGCCTTTGACATGACGGTCAAAATTTTGCCATTCTTCGAAAAATACTTCGGGATTCGCTTCAATTTACCCAAAATTGATATAGTCGCTGTGCCCGAGTTTGGATTTGGCGCGATGGAAAACTATGGCTTAATCACATTCAGGTCAGTACTCTCGGATTTTCATGACAAAAGAACTGACTGGTGAGATTTCGACTAAACTTTTGATTGGTTTGCAGGGAATCGGCGTTGCTGGTATCGGCAGATGAAGAGCAACGATCGCCTGCCAAAAGTACTGAACGTGTGGCAAGTACGATTGCGCACGAACTGGCCCATCAATGGTTCGGAAATCTCGTTACGATGAAATGGTGGAATGATCTTTGGCTGAAAGAAGGGTTCGCCACTTTTATGAGTTACGTTGCTCTTGAAGAGGTGAGTGGTACATTTGAATACTCTCATTTTGTGCTTTTTTGTCCAAAAATCGCACCTTTTGCGCCAATTATGGCGAACGTCAGTATTTTAGAGTGATGCGTAGTCAAAGCTGTTATAGTCACCGCGGAGTTGCGAGCACTTTTCTTGCAAGTGTTACTCTTTCTTGTATGCAGATGCGGCACTTTTAGACTCACTAGTGAAAAATCGTAAAAAGAAACAAAATCGTTTCCTTTCATAATTTGAATGTTAATTTTTAGATAAAACCGTCCTGGCGACATTTGGATTTCATTTCAATAAACGAGCTACAAGCGGCAATGGAAGAGGATTCCAACTTAAGTTCACATCCAATTTCATTTGATGTAAATACTGCAGCTGATATTCGTCGTATATTTGATCCAATATCCTACTCAAAAGGGGCATCCATAATCCGAATGATGCAATGTTTTTTGGGTGAAAAAACATTCAAAAAAGCATTGCACAAGTACTTGAATGTGTTTCAATACAAAAATGCGGTTCGCAGTGATTTGTGGAAGATAATGACAGAATTCGGGCATCGAGATAAGACACTACCCGCCAATCTGACCGTTGAAACTATTATGGAGACTTGGACAAACCAAGCTGGATATCCAATTTTAAGTGTTGTACGAAATGGAACATCAATTCATGTGTCACAACAACGGTACCTGTTACCAAATGGCATGTCAAACAATGACACTCAAAAATGGCACATTCCAATCACATATGTGACCGAAGGCGATCCCAATAAAGAGGATACCATTCCAAAGTATTGGCTTGAGAGTAACGAAAACAAAACACTCCACGATGCGATTAGTGGTGATGATTATTTCTATTTGAACGTTCGTCGCTGTGGTTACTATCGTGTTAATTATGATTATAAGTCATGGGCGGCGTTGAATTACAGTTATGATTCTTTGCCTGATGTCGTGATCGCGCAATTGATCGATGACTCGTTGAATTTGGCACGCGCTGAAATTTTGGAATACGATATTCCGTTGATGTTTTTACGTAAATTACGTACGAGAGACGTTTTGCCATGGGCAGCTGCCAAGTCTGGCATTGAGTTTATCGTAGGCATGCTGAGCCAAGAACCACTTTATGAACAGTTTAGGGTAAGTTTGATTGGTTTTTTAATTTATTCACCACAGAAAAGATAGAGGCGTAGAGAAAGGAGAAAAGAGGGGGAGAGGGTTGAAGAGGGAGTAGAGAAAGGAAGATAGAAAGAAAGCTGAAAAAAGAAAGCCGAAAAGAAAAATAAGAAAATTTCATTCGATTTCAGGAGTTCATGCTTCGCATCATCAAGCCGATTTACAACGAAATGGGCTTTGAAAAGTCAAATGAGTCGCACGTGCAATTACTTCATCGAGCTGTAATCGTTCGTCATGCTTGTTCATTCGATTACGAATTATGTGTGAATAAGGCACAACACATTTATCGTGAATGGATGATGAACAAAGCTCAAATTTCGTAATTTGAAATTGCACTTTGAATTAAATATCAAGCTTAATGACATTTTTCTCTTTCAGCATCAATCCGAATATAAAGGAGATAGTTTTTTGTACTGCATTGCGTGGGGGTTCCTCTAAGGAATGGAACTTTGCCTACAATCGATACTTGGAAACGGCTGACGCATCTGAAAAAGATATCATTTTAAGTGCACTCGGTTGCACAACGAAACCAGAACTTTGGTCAAAGTAAGTCATTCGACAATTTGCCATTTCAAAATCTCTGATTCGTAATTTATTTTATTCCTTGAAGGTACTTGAACATGATACTTTCACCATCGTCGGGCATTCGTAAGCAGGACGGTCACAAAGTATTCGGAGCTGTTGCCGAAAATAGATTTGGTTCGAAAATTGCATTCGATTTTCTAAGGTCGAATATTAAAGAAATCAGTGAATATTTCGGTAACGGTTTCTCAACTATTTCGAAAATGATCAAATCAGCCACTAAATTCATGAACAAAGACTATCATCTCGATCAATTGAAAGAATTCAAAGAAAAAGCTGACAGTCTCGGTTTAAAATCCATTGGGGATAGCATACAGTTGGCTGCAAATTCAGTTCAAAACAATGTTTATTGGCGATCACATTCGTATTATAAATTGCAAATGTATTTGACATCACAAAAATTTAAACTGAATTAATTCGAAGGAAGTGAACATTGAAAATGAGAGAGAGATTTGGAAAATGGAACTATTTTCATATGAAGACATATTCATATTTTTTTTTGAACGAAACTCATTAAAAATTTCTTTTGCAATTTAATTTTATCTTTTAATATTTTCTTGTGCAGTACAGTATCTACAAAATGGATTAAATTAAATGGAATTGGTTTTAATGTCTTCTTCGCAGATAATGCGATGTTGTTCATTGCAATCGATATCATTCCAAAGAAGTTCTTTTTCGTTATATAAAGCAATGCATTGTCTTCGATCATTATCTGGTTCACCGCGAGCCCAATTCTTGAATGATATTTTTTTGCCCGTGTCAAACCAATAGAAAATTGTATCGCCCAAATTTGTAGCTGCCATCCAGAAACTCTCATCATGGTGACCTGATTTTGAAAATAATTAATCTACAATCATACGAAAACGGAACGTTGGTGACTTACCGGCTTCGTTGATAATGTTCACAATCTTTTCTTGTTCTTCTTCCGATTGAATGCTAATCAAACGCATGCCCATATTATGACAAAATGCCATCGAGCGGTACCAGTTGGTCTTTTGTAAAAAAAAAATCATCGGTTAAATTGTTTTTGTCGAATAAAATTCTATAAAGTGAAATTTTACCTTAAAAAATGGTTCCATGTGATAACGTTTTGTGTTTCCATCCTTTGAGTTTGGAGCACCGAAAATTGGCACTGCAAAAATTCGAAACGTCATATTTACCGAGATAAAATAAAATGTCTTTTAAAGTGTTTGGACGAAAAATGACATACCAACTACTGCCAAAACAATGCAAAATACGATACTCGACTTCATTTTGATCGTTCACTGAAAAAATTGTAGCAAAGATTCAACTTATCAGAGGATGAAACAACGAATGAATTCTATTGACTCCAAAATACTATTTATATTCTTCTTCAGATGCACGAAAGCCACGAAAGAAAGTACCTTAAGTCTTACCAAGAATGTTGCGCATCATCCATATTCAGAGTTGCGTTTTTCATACTGGAGGTGCGTGCACAATTGCACATAGTATACATCGCACTCACAGACTGTGTGCGACGCACAAAATGCTTTTATTTTCAATGTGCACCCACATTAGCATAGAAAATTGACATTTCAAATATCAGTTTTGAATTTGTCGAGAACTGTCAAACTTCTATGTAAATGTGTGTGCACATTGAAAATAAAAGCATTGTGTGCTCCGCACACAGTTTATGAGTGCGAAGTCTACTATGTGCGCGCACCTCCAGTGTGAAAAACGCAACACTGTCCATATTTATAAATAAACAAAAATCCGGTTCTTCTTGGTAATTCTTCCATTGACCTTTTCTTTTTGCATTCATTCGCGTGAAGCGCTCTTCACCGTGTAGAATGACGCAAAAGAATGAATATGACTAAAAGAAAAGAAAAAGCGCATTAAGACTATGTTGAATAATCGAAGTATTAATCCTGAAATGTGTAAAACGTGCTGGAAATCCCATAAAGTCTGTTGAAAATAAACAAAAAACTAATGTATCTGTTGATAATGATAAAACAAGTTTGGATTTTGTTTGCAAACATTATGAATTTCTCATTTTTCTCTCTTTCTCTCTCTATCTCTCTCGCTTGCTCTTCATCAAAAGGAAACACCTTTTACTTCAAAAACAGATTCAATGTGGATAGAAAGCGCGTAAGGTCAATTCTTAACGGTAGTTTCTTTCGGTATCACCAAAACAGCAGCTATCAGATAAAGTACGTTTTTTTTCGGGATTTTGTTTGCAAACATTATGAATTTCTTTCTTTCTTTCTCTCTCTCTCTCTCTCTCTCTCTCTCTCTCTCTCGCTTGATCTCTATCAAAAGGAAACACCTTTTAATTCAAAAACAGATTCAATGTGGGTGAGAGATTTTATCGCAGATCAATGACGTTTTCTTTGGATAGAAAGCGCAGAAGGTCAATTCATAACGGTAGTTTCTTTCGGTTTCATCAAAACAGCACCTATCAGATAAAGCACTTTTTATTTCGGAGGTAACTGCTATATTCAGCGAGATTGGCCATTTTAGCTACTGAATAGCCCAATACAATTTCTGATTATGAATCTATGTCTCAATACTGTAAGTTCTCAAGATAACAAAGGTCTTTCTTTTAAACCATTTTTGCAAAATCTTTAGGGGTTTTCAACGATTTCGGCACTCATTTATGGCATCAAAATTGAATTATATCGTTTGGACTGATTAGATTTAATGTCACTGCAAAAATAGATTTTTGTTTTTAAAAAAACCGGTACGTGTCAATGCCTCTATACCTAGCGATCTAATCAATTAACTTTTTTACTCTTTCCACGTTTCGATTAAGCAATAGTCCTATTGAGGATTTAATACGAAAGACATTTCATTCTTCAATAATTTCATCCTTTATTTTATTTTAATTTTTCTCTTAAATAAAAATAAAAAATTACACGTTTTCTTCGCAAATAACGCGTTTATTATTATCAAAGCAAGAGCAATCGTTCCATTTGAAATCGGTTTCATTAAGTATTTCGATGCACTTTCTGTCGCTATCAAAGTCATTCGGTTCACCATTGATCCAATTTGTGAATGTGATCTTTTTACCGCTGTCAAACCAATAGAATACTTGATCGCCCAAACTGGTGCCGGACGTCCAGAAGCTTTCATCGCCAAGATCTATGCCCAGTATCAAAGAAAACCAAAACATTTTGTTTACGGAAAAACTGAAGTTTCTCGAAATACAAATGGTACAGAAATGAAAAATTAAATACCTGATTCTCTGGCGAAATTCTCGATATTTCGTTGTTCCTCCTTTGATGCGATGGTTATCAATCGCATGCCCTTCGAGTGGCAGTATTGCATAGCTTTAAACCAATTTGTCTATAAATAAATGAATTTTTAATCAAAAGTAATCGAAATAATAACGACGACACTTCAGCACTTGTGGTGACACATGAAATGATTTCTTTTTCACTGAAAACTTGACGATTAAATGCTTACTTTAAAAAATGGTTCCAAGTGGTAACGTTTTTCTGCATATTCTGGTAGATCATGGGGATCACCAAATGTGGATGCTACAAGAAAATCATTGAGAAAACGTTTGCAAATGTATTTGAATGGATTCAAAAACATACCAATTATCACCGAAACAATTAACAAAACCAACGAACATTTCATATTGAAAATATATCAAATGTATGCGATTTTGATCAGAAGGAAGTCTTGCAAACAATTACGGCTTTTTATTTAATATAAGACTTTGATTTTGTGATGATAACGTTCCAAACTAAAAGTTGCGAATGAATTCACGTTTTAAAAAATAAACAACTATTTATATCGATTTCACGCGTATTCGAAACGCGCTAAGAAAGAGTGGAGTGCAAAATCGTCGTCGTTCTTTGTTTATATGGGAAAACCACTACGTGAATGGTAGGTAAACGAAGTTTCTCAATTGTAAAGAATGATGAGTTTGTAATGTAAACATTCCGATAATTTCAAACCGGTATCCCAAGCACTCAATTTGCACTGTTCACCCGGGGCGTCAGTTACGAAAACACAAAACAGAATACGGAGCATGGCAAAGGCTGCAACGCTACATAACAAAAATATATAAAAGGGGAATAAAGAATAAGACGCAAGGCACGAAGCATATATGAAAATACACTACTTTCTTCGTGTCTCGCTCCGTATTCTGTTTCGTGTTTTCGTAGCAGATGCACGGTGCAAATGCCGCGGGCTAACAGTGCAATTTGAGTGCTTGAGATGTGCAAAAAACGAATAACTTTAGCTTGATATGATATTCGAATACATTCTTTCGGCTTTTTGCACCAGAGCCATTCAAATGACGTCATTGTACTGTGAATAGATCGCAATTTCATCGTAATTCTGACGTAAATAAGAAAAATAAAGAGTTTTGTGGAATTGACAACATTGATTGAAAAATCCAACAACAAAATATGATGATTTAAAAATCGTAGCTATTGGTAAAGATTTCATGGCATATACATTATACAAGGCACACCAACGACAGATGTAATAGTAATAATTTGTCTGTAGTCATTAAATGTCTTATAATTTTATTATTTATTATTATTTCAAATAAATGCGGAAAAATAGTCTTAATATATATATATATAATTATATATAACTCAATGTGAAACCATCGTGATAATCATAGTGATAACCATCGTATTCAGTGTCGGACTCTTCGTTTTTCACAGTAGTTACTTCTGAATTACTTTTGTATTTGTTAATCACATCCACCACGCTTTTGTGACCTAAAATAAAGACAGATATGAAATTATTTCATTTCATTGGGATGTATCAAAATACTAAAAATACCAGCTACCTCTTGATTTTGCCCACTCTAATGCGTTCATGTTGTATGACGCATCTTTGAAGTTAATATCTGCTCCATTTTCAATAAGTATTTCTGCAACTCGAGCACGATCTATAAAAATATGCGAATTAATGACAATTCCAGTTCCGTTGGTTTTTTGTTTAAAAAAAAAACATACCGTTGTGTGCTGAAATAATAAGTGGGGTAAATCCGATACGAATTATGGCATTCACGTCAGCGCCGTTCTTGATAAGCATTTCGGCTACCTCTGGACAATCTGGCAAAATAATATCCAATAGAAGTTGCAGCTTATACATGTATGCATATATCACTTTAAATTCCCAAAATTAATTACCATTATATGTTGCCACGTGCAATGGTCCCCATTTATCCGCTCCAGCATCACCATTCACATTTAGACCTTTTTCTATTAACATTTTGGCCACCTTTGGTTTACCTAAATGTCATAAGTTAATATTTTATGAAATGTTTTCAAATTTGAATTCAAGGTTTGAATCTTTGAGTAAGATTATTACATGATTCAGCTGCAATATGCATGTATTTATATTCAATTCCACTGACGCCGTTAAACACATTTTCCAGTAAGAATTTGGTATCATTTTGATCATCTGGGTGAAAAATCAAATTTAAATTGAAATTAATTTTAAAGTCAACGAATTAAGGTGAACAATTTGAATCAACCTCTTGAAATTGCGTCCATAATCAAGTCTTTCGGATCATCTTTGATAAATTCGTCTTTTTTTTCCGCATTATCGATTGCATTGAAATTCACTGTTTGCGAAAATGATTGAGTAAGAATGAAAATATCGTCAAATTCCATACAGCTCTTCCACCGAATAGTCATCACCGTTGAATGGTTCTATTGAATTTTAGTGCATGGATTTCAATAAATCCATTGAATCTATTTCCAAAATTACCTAAAAAGTGTAATCCGTTCTCTTCGGTACTAGTGACATCAGCACCATTGTCTACATCAGCCCCGTTTTCGACATCATCGTTGTCATTTGAAACTTTGAGATTGTCGTTTTCAATCTACAAAGAAATGTAAAGAATATCCAATCACTTTAAAATCACAAAAAAACTTTTAAAAATTTCAATTAAATGGGCTAAAATACAAGTCGAAATTTACACCTTCCGCTTAAAGTAATGCACAAAAGATTTTAATTACGAAATATTAAGACACTCACAACAAAAGCAAAAACACTTAAGCTGATCGTTGTTAACATAAAAGTGAGCAATAAAATAAACTTCATTCTGGTGA